GGGGGGGGGGTGCCTCTGCTTCTTGTTACAGTTAAACATCACAAAACACGTTTCTGTGACGACGTTGATTTTTTGTTGGCTGGTAGTTTTGGCAACTTTTTTCTTGCAATTTTGTGAGGGTCTTTTTGGTTTTGAACTGTTTTGTTTTTCGGGGTAGGGGTATGGTATCTATTTAACATCTCCACCCACTTTTTCCCACAATCCCCTCCTTTCTAAAACACAGCTCCCAACAAGAATCGAGCCAAGTGGGTGGGGAGCCTGCAATGAAACCTCCCCAAACAATCTTTTTTCCTCAAATACGCCGTTGGAGATTGGAACTGCAGCCATCTGAATACAAGTCCGATGTGATTTGTGCAAAGCCAGAGGTGCGCCGTTACTCAAACATAAAGAGCGAATACACTTGTCATAGTAAAGGCTTCAGACTCCTAAATGTGCTGAATGACCCAAGACTATATTCTTACATCATGGCCCTCAGTTTAAAAATAAATGCAACAACAATAACAAAAGCAAAGACAACAACAACAACAAACCAAGATCAGGACACGAGGAAGGCACCGCCCGGACTTTGCGTATCACGGAACCAACCCCGGTGTGAGTGAGTGGGAAATGGTGCAACAAGTGTGTGTGAGCGGGTGTGTGTGTGTGAGCGAGTGTGAATGAGTGTGAGTGAGCACAATGGATGAGCGGATTTGAGTGTTTGTGAGAGTAAGTGTGTGTGTGTGTGTGTGTGTGTATGTGTGTGTGTGTGTGTGTGTGTATGTGTGTGAATATGAATGAGTGTGTGTGTGAGAGAGAGCGTATAGTGGGATGGGGGATGTGGTGGGTAGACGAGGTGGGTGGTGATTTTAATTTTTGTTGGGGTGGGGGGAGGATGATGAAGGGAGGTGGCGACGTGGAGCGAGGGGGGGGTGGATGACACAGTCCAGGAGACACTTGAGTGACCCCTCAAGTCCCAGTTGTCCCTGACGGCGTCACTCCAGGCGCGGAAAGGGAGGGAGTTAAGGTGGGAGCAACATCTGACCGGCTTGTCAGATCGGAAAGATCGGATCGGGTCGGATCGAAGCAGAAATTTTTTCAGATCGATCTAAGCAGATCCAACCAATTCAAGCCATGTATTCACTTGGAGGGAAACCAATCTTTAAGGCAGTGCCTGTTTTTTATTATTTTGATTTGATTTTGTGTTAGGGATTTTTAAAAGACTTTTAGCGATGAGTTTGTTTTTTTAATTCTTTTTCTTTGTTTGTTTGTTTGTTTATTTGTTAGTTTGTTTGGGTTTTATTTTATTTTTTAGGGAGGGGGTGTTGTTGTTGTTGTTGTTGGGATTTTCTTTTTGTTTTTGAGAGGGTGGGAGGGGATCAGGACCCTATAAAACAGTCACCTTTACGCTTGATCAGTGTTCACAGCTATAAGATGTGTAACCTTCCATATATGCGTGTGTGAGTGGGTGTATGTGTGAGTGTGTGTGTACTGTGTTGTTGTTGTTGGTGGTGGCTTTAAAAAAAAACAACATTTTAGCTATGGTTACCAGGTCTTGCTCAAGGACACACAGCAGTGACTACCCATCTACACCACGGTTCAAAACACTTCCTTGGCATTATTGTTTAGTCTGAGCTCACAACTCACTCGGACACTAGAGCCCCCAACATGTACTTTACAAGATTGGTGACAAAAAATGGTGAAATGGTATAGGTTTAACGCCCTATCAACACTATTAGGTTAATTAAGAGGGGGGCCTCCGAGTTTAACGTCCATCTCCGAAAGGACCGAGCCAAGGGGGGAAATTCGTGTAGTGTAAAGTGCCTTTCCCATGGACACAACGTCGGGCGGAGCTGAGGCTCGAACCCCCGAACCCGCAATCTCACGATTACGAGTCCGGTAGCCTAACCACTAGGCTACCGACGCCACTTTACAAGACTGTTTCCCTCACTTATAATAATAATAATAATAATAATAATAATAATAATAATAATAATAATAATAATAATAATAATAATAATAATAATAATAATAATAATAATAGATAGATAGATAGATAGCATTTGTATTGCGCAAATGCCCGCTCAACAGCAAGCTCTATGCGCTTTACAATCTACTGTTACCCCAGCAGACCTGAGAGCATTCTGAAAAAAACTCAACTTCCTGGGAAACATACAATGCAAGCGGCCATTTATAGGCGCTAAAACACTAACATACTGACAAGGTCTTTCACTGTCAATGGCCAGGTATCTATTCCCACCTGGGTGAAGTAAGGAAAACTCGTGTAAAGTGTCTTTGCCCCCGGCTCGAACCCCCGAACCCGCAACCTCTCGATTACGAGTCCGAAGCCTAACCACTATATCACGGACACATTTAACGCCAGTAGCGAGCTCCACTGGGGAATGTTGCTGATCTTCTTGTGCCCTTTAGTTTCTGTCTGTGAGTCTGTCTCGTTGTTCTCCTGCACTTGTTGACACTCTTTGAGTCCCTGTGCTTCTCTCTCTCTCTCTCTCTCTCTCTCTCTCTCTCTCTCTCTCTCTCTCTCTTTTTTTTTCTTTTTTTGGGGAGGTAAGTATTTTACGGCGCTCGCAACTGCATAAGGTCATATGAGCGCGAGGGACACATTAAAGTTTTTCCGTTGGTAGGAAATTTTGAATTTGCCCCTGTGGCGGCCGAAGCCTACTCTTATCGATTTTAGACCACTAAGGGATCTTTAACGTGCGCAACTTGCACACGGGCCCTCCGAGATTTTTCGCCCTTGTTCAAGAAGGCTAGCAGGTGTAGATCTTTCATACCAGAAGATCAGGCGTGTGGCTGAAAGACAGCAGTAAGAAAGAGCAAAGGAGTAGCAGTAGAAAGGCTGCAGAAAGAGTCAGGAGCCCAGAGGAGGGGGCAAAAGAGGTGAGGGGGTGGGGGCATAAAGAGGAGACGAAAGCAGACGACGACAGAACATTGCTAAAGAGCAGGAAAGGAGGTGAAAGGAGACAATTTTAGAGAAGAAATGTGTTTGGTCGCTACCCAGATTTGAACCCGAGACCTTAGAATGACAGGCAAACACCTTAACCTCTGGGCTACGAGAGCCCCGTACTTCCCTTTACACAAAAAGTCACACAAATGTTACAATTAACAGGAAAGACGACGGGTTTTTTTTACAATCTAACTGCAGCTATTTTTTTTTATTTCTCAAGTGATGTATCCTCTTTCTGTTTCAGTAACGATTTCTCCTTCATACCACTCACTCAAACTAAAACAAAATCCTCTCCTAACCAAAAACAATTTTTTTTCTAAACGGATACGTGTGATCTCCACTTAAGCAGTAAGCCAGTCGAGGCCCGTGCATGTGGACACGAGTCCGCTCACTCCGACTCACACAGCCAAAGACCTTCGCTCATCATCCAGTGACGCACTTTGGAGACGTTCCCTATAGGAAATTTCTCCCGGGATCGGCAACGGCCGGCCCTATCCACTCACTCCTCCACTCTCTCCTCCACTCACCCATTCACTCACTCCTCCACTCACCCATTCACTCACTCACTCACTCCTTCACTCACAGCAGGGCCTGTGTGAACACCTCAGACGTCAACGCCCAGGGTTCTCCCTACCCTCCTGTCCACACACACACGCACAGACAGACAGACAGACAGACGGACTGACGTAGCTAATGACATCAAAACAAAAACAATGAGCATAATGTACAGGCCCCGCTTCTCGTTCCCACAGCGGAATCAATGAGGAAATTCTTTCATTGCTTATTATGTCGATATGTCCTGCACGACGGTATCGATTTGATTTATCTCGACAATGTCGTATGTATGTATGTCTGGGATTATTGCACTGCGCTGGTTTTTGCTATCGCGGGAAAAGAAGGGGGAGGGGAGGGGAGGGAAGGAAGGGGGTTGGAATCAACTGGGAGAATACGCGAGGCGGAGGAGCGAGCAAACTGATATAGTGGCACACACGCACACACTCCCCGCACGGCGGCAGGTGTGTGGTATTTGGGGGGCATTTTGTATTTCGTGAACAAACGGCGTACCATACTTATTCGCCCAAGCTTGAAGACAACTTTGACTCGAGAGATCAAGAGGGGGGTGAGACCATCTTGTGGCGAGACCCCGCGTTGGTATCGCCGCGTCATAGACCATAATTACTCAGTGAATGGCGTCAGATACTTATTAGCGACACTTCCGTTTTTTCCCCGCTTCTCATTGGCTGGCGCTCCTGGTGTTCCTGTCTCTCACGTCTTGTTGTGAATGAGTAACTCCTCCCCCCTCGTACTATAAGTTGGACGCGCGATACTACTTGCGAATCATTCAAACTAGGACTCGGATTTTCAAACAGGAATTACAAACGTATCCTGCTTTGTATTTCCAAAACTGCTTTGGAAGAGAACAGTGAAGTGTACAACGGCGAGTTGAGAGAGGTTTTTTTTTTCCTTCAGTAGGATCCTCAAGTATAAGAGGCTCACTCTCTCGTGAACGCACGCTTAATCAGCTGGGAGCTTGGAGGACTTTGGCAAGCACAAGGTTTGTGACAATAATACGTTCATTGTTCATTCTACGTTTGCTCTACGTTTGTCTCTACTAGCGTTGTAATAATTTTGTCATTTCCTTATAACGATTTCGATTTATCATCGCCTGTCTTCATTAATGGCAGAGGAACATAAATAATGGTTTTGCTATCCGGATAAATGTTGTACGGTAAATATAACTTGGTTTATCTTCGAGTCTGAAAAATATTTATTAGGGAACTACAATTGTCTCACAAAAATTGAACCTAAATTCATGTAAAGTCTCTCTCTCTCTCTCTCTCTCTCTCTCTCTCTCTCTCTCTCTCTCTCTCTATCTATCTATCTATCTATCTATCTATCTATCTATCTCTCTCTCTTTCTCTCTCTCTTTTTTTTTCCTTTCTCATCTCTCTCTCTCTCTCTCTCTCTCTCTCTCTCTCTCTCTTTCTCTCTCTCTTTCTCTCTCAGTATAGATATATAATCTTATATACGTGCTAATCAAACAAACGACAAAGTAATATTTCTGACAAAATGCGGCCGTTACAGGACAGAAAAACAACCACTTAACAACCGCAACAGAAAACAATAAAAGCCAAAGGTTGACAATGACACAACCAGTAACCGCTGGTAACATTGAGCAAACTTGTTTTTTCACTTTTGTACTGTGAGGTAAATGTTCCAATCTTGACATAGCCCGCTGGAACTGTTGTGGTCGCACAGCGCAGTTTTTTCACCAAGTCACCCGTAAGTTGTACATGGTTCTATACCCCGCCTGTAGAGTAGCCCGATAATTGTTGATGACCACACATACTTGTGGATGCTGTGTGTCTGGCACAAATCGAGACTCACTCTAACATCTTGAAATACCCGATTTTGTCATGATTATGTTATAGATTCTAGAGCAGGTTCGAACGCACCATCTCGATATTAAGGATGTGAAAAACCTACAAACAGAAATGTACGAAATAGCGATTTGAAATGTGAGTGTAAGTGTCGAATACACCATCTCGATATTAATGATGTGAAAAAAAACCTACAAACAGAAATGTACGAAATAGTGATTTCAAACGTGAGCGGAGATATATTTAAGGGCTGTTTGATAGTTTAATTGCACAGTCATCATCATCTGTGGCCGACACTGTGGACATCTCGCTCTGTTATCTCTCTCTGTCTCTGAGTTATCAGACGCGTGATTTCTCAACCGCCTGACGTTTCGTTGTACTTCTAAATGTTATTTATACCAGTGACAACAGAAGGAAATGCATGTACACGGGTCAAAAGGCTCAACCTGTCCTGTTAGTTAACGGCTTCATTTTACACATCGGAATTTAAAAATAATTAAAAAGCCGTTAATGAAAAGTAACGTGTCGCGATTTGATAAAGATAGTTAAACGAACAGACAGATAGGTAGACACGTAGTAACATCAGTGGATAGATAGATTGAAGAAGGAAAAAAGAAAGAAAGAAAGAAAGAAAGAAAGATAGACAGACAGACAGACAGAAAGACAGAAAGAAAGAAAGAAGGGATAAGGTAAAAACAACCCGGGAGATACAAAGTCCCACAATAGAGTCCTCATGTTATGTTCCCGGCCTGGTCGATACGACATTGACTGGTGGAGAGCGACATTTTTGTACATAGCCGGCCGGCCTGACACAACGACAGATATACACACACAGACAC